AAGACCTTGACTCAATAAAAGTAAAATAAAATAAATTTTTAAATGATGTTTTTTTTCAGTCAGAATTTTATTCTGTTGCCCAGGCTGGAGTGCAGTGGCACACTCACAGCCACCACAGCCTCAACCTGCTGGGATCCTTCTGCCTCAGCCTCTCAACTAGCTGGAACTACAGATGCATGCCACCACATCTGGTTAATTTTTTAAAAAATTATTGTAGAGATGAAGTCTTGCCAAGTTACCCAGGCTGGTCTTGAACCCCTGAACTCAGGCAATTCTCTCACCTCCACCTCCCAAAGTGCTAGGATTACAGGTATGAGCCATCACACCCAGCCAAAACTTTTAAAAATTTTAAAGTAAAAAATTATTTTTACTTTAAAAAAAAGTAAGCCGGGCTCAGTAGCTCAGCCTGTAATCCCAGCACTTTGGGAGGCTGAGGTGAGTGGATTGCCTAAGCCCGCGGGTTTGAGACCTGCCTGGGCAACTTGGCGAGACCTCATCTCTACAATAAATCAACAAATCAGCCGGGCGTGGTAGCGCGCGCCTGTAGTTCTGGCTACTCAGAAGGCTGAGGCAGAAGGATCGCCGGAGCCCATTAGGTTGAGGCTACAGTGGCCGGGAGCAGCCACTGCACTCCAGTCTGGGCAACAGAGTGAGACTCCAACTCAAAAAAATAAAAAAATTAAATTAAATAAATAAATAAAGTATGGTGGCTCATGCATATAATACTAGCATTTGGGGAGGCTGAGGTGGGAAGATCACTCGAGGCTAGTCAGGAGTTCAAGATCAGCCTGGGCAACAAAATGAGACCTCATATTTATAAAATATATAAAAATTAGCTGGGTATCTTGTCTCATCTTTATTTTCCAGCTACATGGGAAACTGAGGCAGAAGGATCACTTGAACCCAGGAGTCTCAGGCTTGTATTAAGCTATGATCATGCCAGGCTGGTTGACAGAGTGAGACCCTGTACCTAAATAAATAACCATATCAATCAAGGCACTGAAATACCTAGGAATAATCTTAACAAGAAATACGTGAATTCTACATAAAGAAAACTTTAATATGCTACTGAAGGGATATCAATGACAAATATATAGTAAGATTCTATATCATAAACTCTCTTTTAGATACAATAAAATATACGACTCCAATCAAAATATTGATAGCTGAAAAATAAATTATGATACGAATAGTCCTACCATACTGCACAGTAATGAGAATGAATGGACTAAAACTATACACAAAAATATGGCTGAATGTTGCAGAAATAATTTAAACAAAGGAAGCCAGACACAAAAGAGTACATACTCTGTGATTCTCTTTATATCAAAAACAAAAATAATCAAAACTAGTTTACAGTACTAGGAGTCAGAAGAGTGGTTATCCTTGAGGGGAGCAGTGATTGAGAGGGGACACAAGGGTGGCTTCTGGGCACTGGTAATGTTCTATGTCTTCATCTGTTGCTAGTTACATGAATGAAAAATTTTTCACCAAGATATACACTTATCACTTGTGTGTTTTTCTGCATGTATATTACACATTAATTTTTAATTGTAGTAAAAAACATATAATGTGCACAACTTTTTAAAGACAGTATGGTTAGCCGGGCGTGGTAGCGTGCGCCTATAGTTCCAGCTACTTGGAAGGCTGAGGTGGAAGGATCGCCGGAGCCCAGCAGGTCGAGGCTGCGGTGGCCAGGAACGGCCACTGCACTCCAGTCTGGGCGACAGTGAGACTCCAACTCAAAAAAAAATAAAAAGATAAAAAAATAAAATAAAGACAGTATGGTACTAGAACATAGATCAATGAACAAAATTTTAAAAATCCAGAAATAAAACAAATACATATGGCAATTTGGGTACTACAGAAGTAGCATTCAGAAACAATGGAGAAAATATGGATTATTCAATAAGAAGGATTTGGATAAAACAAAACATAAAGTTGGATCTCTATCTCACACCTTTACACCAAAATAAATTCCAGATAAATCAAATGTTTACATATACAAAAAGACACTACCGAAGTATTTAAAGAAAATGTAGAAGTTTTAAAATAATCTTAAGTAGTAGAAGACTTTTAAAACAATGATGTGAGCTGGGCTCGGTGGCTCAGCCTGTAATCCCGCGCTTTGGGAGGCCAAGGTGAGTGGATTGCCTGAACCCGCGGGTGCGGGACCCGCCTGGGCAACTTGGCGAGCCCTCATCTCTACAATTAAAAAAAAAAAAATCAGCTGGGCATGGTAGCACGTGCCTGCAATTCCGGCTCCTTGGAAGGCTGAGGCGGAAGGATCGCCAGAGCCCAGCAGGTCGAGGCTGCAGTGGCTGGGAGCGGCCCCTGCACTCCAGTCTGGGCGACTGAGTGAGACTCCAACTCAAAAAAATTTTTAAATAATAAAAAAATAAAAATAAAAATATGATGTGAAGCCCAGACACTATCAAATAAAATGTTGATAAATTCAACTACATAAAAATAAAAACTATTCGCAAAGAATCATCACAAACAAAATAAAAAGACATAGAGCAAACTGGAAAGAGGGAAAAATACTGTTAACTTATATACACAGAACAAATGTTAAGAAAAGACACCATAACCAATAAAAATATAAACAGAGTATATAAACAAATAATTTACAAGAAAAAAACCCCTGCCATTTAAGCGTATTATAAGATGCTCCTTGGAAGGCTGAGACAAGCCCTAGCCTGGGCAACAAAAAGTGAGACTCCAACTCAAAAAAAAAAAAAAAAAAAGATACTCAACCTTACTTTTTTTTTTTGTGAGTTGGAGTCTCACTCCATTGCCCAGGCTGGAGTGCAGTGGCACACTCAAGACCACCGCAGCGTTGACCTGCTGGGCTCCAGCGATCCTCCCACCTCAGCCTTCCAAGTAGCCGGAACTACAGGCGCGCACTACCAAGGCCAGCTAATTTTTTATTTATTGTAGAGACGAGGTCTTGCCAAGTTGCCCGGGCTGGTCTCTAACCCGCGGGTTCAGGCAATTCACTCGTCTTGGCCTCCCAAAGTGCTGGGATTACAGGCTGAGTCACCAAGCCCGGCCTCAACCTTGCTTATAAGATAAATGAAAATGTAACGTGCAATGAGATACCATTTATACTATCAGACTGCCAAAAATCAAACTAGTGTGCTTATCAAGCTGATCCTTTTCATTTATTGCTAGATGGAAGAGAAAATTGGTTAAAAACACACACACACAAAAAAAACTTTGTGGAAGGCAATTTGGCAACTCTATGCATACTTACCAAAATCCTTTTCAAAGATTGCTGGTGGAATGAAAATTAGAAAAATCTTGTGGGAGGAAGATAATTTGCAAACTTGTACTTATCCAAATGAAAAACAATGTACACACTCCTTTGACTTAATATTTGCATTCCTAAGTGTTACACAGATATACAAGAGTGAAAGGAAGTATGCATGCCCATCAATACAATATTAAAGGACTGGTGAATATATCTTTTATCCCTCAGACATGCTATGAAATGATCATCATGAGGCAGATACATATATGCTGCTATGGAAAGATTCCTAGAATGTATAAAAGGAAGTTGCAAAATAATATGTATGATATATCATCAACTAGGTAAAAAACATATATACACACAGGTTAACTATAAGATGTGAAATTTTTCGCAAGAAACGGGCAATACTGGTTGCCTTGAAGGAAAGAAGACACCGTAATACCTTTTGTTTCTTTTGAATTTTGTATAATGTTGCGGCGTGCATTACTTATTCAAAACGCATGCGCATTTTCCAAATTAATAGAAAACGAAAAACTGAGGTCCTTAATTGAGGAAAGATACAATCTCGCGTTCATTCAACACATGTTTATTGAGTGCTCGTCACGTGCCAGGCATTGTGATAAAAACTAGTGCGGGAGATCTCCGGGTGCCAAGGAGAGCCCAGCTCCCTGTTCCCAAGGCGCGCTCCTAGTGCGGGGCGGAGGACCGTGGGGACCGAGCGGGGCGCAGGGCCGGGCTCGCGGGCTCCCTGTCGCGCAGAAGCTGGAGCACGACCCACCCGTCCCTAATGCTCCAGACACCCGGACGGGTGGCTGGAATGCAGTCTTCCAACGCTGCCTGCAGAGACGCACTCCTTTCTCGCCCCGGCAGAAACGGTCCCCTGGCTTGGCCTTCCCGCCTGTCGCTCCGACCCATTTTCCTCAATCCCCAGGAAAGGGAGAGTCCCTGGCGCCCCCACTGCCCGCTGCTCCCTTACCAAGGCGGTGTGAACGCGCGTCCCCTGTCCATCTCTCCCTCCCACCGCTGTGTCGGTCCACATCGTGTGTTCGTGCCTCGGCAGAGGACCAGAAGAGTGGGTCCTTGCTCTCTGCGGTGCACTGCCTTCCCCTTGACCTCTCCATCTACGAAGCCTATTTCATGTTAAAAAAAAAAAAAAAGTTTCCCATGTCTCCTGAGCCCCTGTCACTCTATGGGGGACCAGACCGATCGATGGAAAAGATCACAAGAGAAACAACTGATGGAGCATCTCGCATCATGACGCTGCCGTCCCAGTGGCCGCTGGGTTGTGGAGTAGTGCTGGCTTTGTACAAAGGCACCAATTTTGTACCGACAGTGACAAGCATGAGTAATGCCACCCCCTCACACCTTGCTCCCAGCCCCCGGAGCGCAGATCTTCCCCCAATTTCTCCTTGGTAATTCGTCTGGAGGTGGGCTGAGAGGAATCCGCGAAGCTTCCAAGCTGTGTAATTCTCAGCAGGTGCAGACTCAATGAACTGCATCTTCTGTTCCTGGATCTCATTGGCTGATGGTTGAGCGGCTTTGAAGTCCATCCGGGCAATTGGGCATCAGCAAGCAGCGGCGACGTCGCTCAGGGGCAGCCCGCGCAGGGATTGGTTGTGACTGGAGAAGGCGATTGGTCGGACGGCGAGTAGGGTGCTGATTGGTGAGGGCGGGCTGCGAGGGCGGGGACGTGGCGGCTGAAACGCGGCCGGCGGGGCCCGGCGTCGCGGTGCGGGCGGGAGCCAGCGGCGGCCGCTAGGGTGAGGCCCGAGGTGCGAGGCGGAGCGCTTGACGCTGACTCGTGGAGGAGCGGTAAAGGCGGGGATCGAGAGCGGAGGTTTAAGCGGGCAGGAGAGGCTGGGCCTCGGGCTAGTACTAGGAGACGGAAATGCGGGGTTGAGGAGGGAGAGGCGTACGGCGCGCCCCCTGGCGAGCCGAGGGTGTGGGGCCCAGGGGCGGCCGTCGGAGCGCGGGGCCGCGAGGAGCTGCCTGGGGGCGGCTCTACCCGGGAGCTCGCAGCCGTGTGCGGGGGAAATGCTCTGGTCCCGGGGCTGGGCCACCGCGGGCCGGTGCCAGAGCGTTTGTGATCGCTCCTGTCAGTCTGGACTCTCCGACCGGGTCTTTTTGAGACTGAGACCCGCTCGCAATCGATCACTTTGCTTCCTGAGTTCCTCGGCTTTTTCTTTAGTTACCCGTCGTAGGATGGTTGTGTACAGTCAGAATCAGACTTCGGGGCTTTTGTTTTCCCGATTTCCCTTCGTATTTCTGAATGCAGGTATCATCGTAGGGATTGACTGGAGACCCCCATTTCAAAGCCTCATTTTAAGACCTTTTCCTTAGCCTGGAAGAAATGGATTGAGCCCCCT